TTTTTGTATAAATAGATGTGAAATGTGTGTTTCATGTAGCGCTTAAACTCTAGGGGAAGGTATGCAAAAGAAAATTTCACTTAAAAATTATTCTTTTTTTTTTTTAAACATCTGCCAACATTCCAGCATTGTTTGGGAAGCATTTTGAATTATCATCACAGTGCTAAAACACAACAATGGTTATGTTTTGCAAGAGACAAACTGGGAATCTTAAGTACCTAAGAGAGATCGGAAAGACCTGCAGACACTTTGGCACTATAGAAGAAAAAAATTCTTGAGAAAGGAGGAAAAGTGGCTTGGTCACAACAATAGTAAGAGGAAATAAAGGCAGCAGTATGACACAGAACAGGAGACAAGGCAGGAAAGGAGTGTAAGAAGTGAGGACATGCATTTCTATCCCGTGGAAGGACAGAGAACTACTAAAGTGAGACAAGATGGAATATTTAAGGCAGCAGCAAGGTTTGAAGGTTTCCCCCTCTTTCTTTTTGTTTATTGCCTGAATTCAGACCATGAGACACACAGAAAGCATGCATGATAAATCACACTTTCACTTCAATGCTAAAATCTTAAACAGAAGAGAGTAAGAATACTAATGCTTGCAAGCTATCATGCCCTGAAAGCAGAAGTACAGATCCAGTTACACTGCCTTTCCCCTCTTTCTCTCCTCAAATGCTGTCTCTGAGCTGATAAAAATGACCTTTTTTTTTTTTTTAAGATTGGCCAGAAGTTTACCTTTAGGTATTTCAGCGTTTTGCATAAGAAACAAACCCTTCAAGCAACTCTATGGAACAGAATACTCTAGAACTCTTTACCTTTAGGTATTTCAGCATTTTGCATAAGAAACAAACCCTTCAAGCAATTCTATGGAACAGAATACTCTAGAACTCTTTCAACTTTTTCACTTTGTAAATACAAACACAAGACCTAGAAATCTGGTTTCAAATGGGCCTGTATTTTGTTGTCTTTTCTTGTATTACAAGAATCTGCAGCTCTGTGCTTAGTCGAAAAGATGCACTGGAAACAAACATTTTGTCATCTCTGCAATATTTGCTAGAGAGATTTTTTTAAAGAATCAACTATACATTCTTGGTTAGTTTTCGGCCACTAAAACAGAGCCAGAAATTATTCTTCTGCCAAGGAGCTGAAAATCCACTGGGTCCTGGAAAGCTCTGAACAGTCTGCTTGTCTTCAAGCCAAACATGCCATAAAGCACTACAATGGGCAAAGCAACTACATTTACACAGATAATTGCTGTGTGGTTGCTTATTGGACCCAGGGGAAACTACAGAAACAGCTATACGATTCCAGGACAATGCCATATATGAAGACTGTTGTATTACCCTACACAAGAACTACAGTGAACCAAAAATGCCTTAAACTAAGGTTTACTACAAGCAACATACCTTGTGCACATGTAACACCTTAAAGTAAGAATGGGTCAGTTACTATTTTTTACTTAAGAAATGTAATGTGTAACCTTAATTCAAACGAACAAACTTCCTATTATTACAAGATTTTAAGACCTATCCTTATTGAAACGTCTTAGAATAGCAATCAGACCTATTTAAAAATGTTTCTGAAGTACAACAGAGGCATTTTTTTTCTTCCCCTGTTAAGTTTCAAGAGACCTTTTGGACTAAACAAAGGAACAACTCTCAAGTTTCATTGCCCCTTGCTGCCATCAAAACAGCCCTGGCAAGCCATTTTGAAGATTCCTTTAATCTCACATTGTTTCTACTAATAGTACCAGATACAAATGAGAATCAGTTAATATGATACTACAGTAATAATTCACTCACTATTTCTCTCTCATTTCATTTTATCCAAATGAAAGCTTTTTGTTGCATGTTACCTGAAGAGAGTTCACATGCAGCCCAGACAGCTCCAGGAGAGCACACTATGCAGTTAAAATAGTAATCAGTGCAATAAAACTTTCTACGTAGTGCATCAACTTAGAGCATGACTAGGCATGATTTCCCCTGGCTCTTGGCACAAGCCTGCAAAGGCTCCAGTATTGCCCATGAGCAGAGTGGAAGAGATCCGAATGGGATGCAGCATACCTGAAAAGGCAAACAATTCCATCCATCACATACACCGTGGGGTAGAAAAGACTAACAGATGCAACAAGGGAAGTTCAAGCATCACTCCTGGCACAGATGGATAAGCAGGCATCCACAAAACTTCACTAGCTTTTAAGCAACACATGCAGGACCATAATCAAAATGTCAGAGAGTCTGTTTCTGAAAAACATCTAAACTTTTCAAGCCTCTAGAGTCAAAAGACAAACAGTACGACATATGTACCTCAGTCTCCCTCATGAAATGAGAAAATACAGCCATGCCTATCTAAAAATTTCCTCTTTAATAAGGTCTAAATAACTATTAGACTAGATATAGTAGAACTCAACTTCAGGAAGAACTAAGCCTAGAAAGAATGGAGAGTACTACTCCGATCCAGAACAGTCCCTCCAAACAAAAAATAACTTTATAACCAAACAAACTTACATCTACTTTCCTAAACTATAAATGCTTTTTAGAAGTATTGAGGAAGAATTAACTTCCCTTATGGCAAAGAACTGACGTTCCTTCTAAGTAAACAAATCTAAAATCTTTTAATGCCCATTTTCATCTCCATGCCAAAGACTTCCATTTTAGAAGAGGTTCAGATCTGCGTAAGTTTTATTTGAACAGACATGTTTCAGGTAAAACCAGGTAAGTTGCTATTCATCATACAACATATGCCTACAGATCTGTCTCAAGTTTTCATTAGACCTTACCCTCAGGAAAACAACAAGATCATCCTAAGGGTGAGGCAGGGCAGTAAGAACAATGTGAACACTACAGTGCTCTCTATTCACTGGGCATTTAAACAGTATAAAGGCATTTTTGTCCTCCAGCAGGATATCGGCACCGTGAATGTGGATATGACAAGTCAACACAGAGGTGGGAGTTCCTCAGTCTTGAAACTGTCAATGCTCATCAGGTACTTTTAAGACAAAAGTATTTTACAAAAGAGTAACTGTTTATTCTGCTCTGGCAAAGTGTGGCGTATAAATTTATACAAGGATATAAGTAGCAATCCCAAGTCTCTGAGTAAACTCTATTAAAAAAAACTTCTCTTGTCAAAGACAGCAGCTACTGTAGAAGTGGGGAACAAAACCAAGTGCCATTTCAAAGGCTGACTGATTCCTGATCTCAAAGCAAAGCTGACTCTTCCTCCTGCCACCGGTTTTATTCTGATATATATCTGTGGAATTAGTTTATGGAGTTAATCATCACAAGAGGTATTTCATACTGGGATGTATACAAACAATTGTATATACCATTACTAGATGTTCAAGACTCAATCCTCTTCCATTCGGACACCTTTCTACATTCACATTAAGGCAGATGAATTGAGGTTTATGTTGCTCTTAAGATGAGAAGCCACGGATCATGCACCAAATGGAAGTGTTCTGTTTCATAAGTAATTTTCAGCAACCATAAACTTGATGATTACTTTGCAATTTAAATAATCTGATTATTTTGTTACTTAAGTAATCCAAATCTACTGATTCTAGACCTGTGGTTTTTAATTAGCAGAATCCCATGAGTTTGAAAAATTAAGTCTAATCACAGATTAGTCTGTCTCAAAAGATACAAACTCTTCAGACAAAAACCACAACTGTAATAACCAGTACTCTCCTTCCTATTCTCTGTATGGTCCTAATAGAGCAGCAAAGGAACAGCAAAGACAAAGTACAGAGCACCAGGCATTTGGGAAAAAAAAGTTGAGTGTATTGCAACACCCACAATGCCTGGAGACCAATGCCCTCAAACCGGTTCTTCCAAACACAGGGGTCAATCATCAGTTCTCTAAAAATCACTTGAAAATTAAGGTGTTCCTGAATTTCTTAATCCAACTTTAGCTCTTCCTACCCTGATGAGTAACGTATGGAGAGACAGGATATCCTGCACTTTAAAGACAAATTTTATTTTCTTTCCGATACAGACATGACTAAATCTTTTCCAATGTATTTATGAAAACTGTAGCAAATGTCTGACCATAGTAGAAAACAAGTGTTTCCTCAAGACAATATCAAAACTCAACTCTCCCTGGCCATCTACAGACTAAAGCACACCTTAAATATTTCTGCCATAGCAGAGCTGATGATTCATCAGAAGAGCAACAATCACCACACTTTGAGCATGATATTGTTACTTAACATAGGAGTTACAGGTCAATTGTCCTCAGAAGTGAGCTGAAACTCTTAAAGTGCACAGTTACAGACAGTCTGACCTGTTCTTTTGGTACTTCTCTGACCACACAGTAAATCATTCCAACTTGCTAAACCAGAGAAATAACAACTTAATCACAAATAAGCTTTTTATTGGGTTGTCAAGTTGACTTCATCTACCATGCAGTCAAACTTATCACGAGAACCAAGCATAACCAAAGGACACAGGACTACTCGGTTGGAAACGGAGGAAAGGGGAGTTGTCTCAGCAGTCTCATAGAACTACACCCTTACTGGACTTCAGGCATTAAGAAAACTGCATCACAAGATCCTTGCCTTTGTCTCCAAGCATTTTCATCACTAGACAATGTTCCCGTTCTGCTGCACATAATCAAATTTATCTCAGCCCATTGGAGTTGTTCCACTAATACTCACCTTTAGGGTTTCATGTACTACAAGGTATTTCAGATTCGTTCTGAAGAAATTACTATGAAGACACACATTTCTACTTTGCAGTTAGTAAAGTTTCTAAAATTATTAAATTACAGCTGGAGCTAAAGAAGCCTAATCACTTGGTACTTGCAGTCCTAATTGTCAACACTCCCAACCCCCTTTAGCAGTACAAAGGCAGGAAACTGTGAAGAGTTTAAGGTTCAGGGAGCACTGCTCAATGCAGTGGAAAATGACTGCTTTCATCATTGAAAGTAAAACCAACTTCTCCCTAAATGTTTGAAAGGAAGCTCCAATATATAACTGAGGGATACAAACTGTAGTTCGGTCATACCTGCAGCTATGTACCTCCCTCTAGACGTTCCAGTCTTCACTCTAAAAGATAAGGAAAAAACAGACATCGAGTACTCCAGAGTTAAAATCAGATAACAACAATGATTACAACATTAATTCCATCTTGCAAAGCACTGAGGACTGTTAAAGTATATTTCTAATAACAGTAGTCATCTTGAGGTGGTAACAACTCTCATTAGACTCAAAAATGAAGTTGCACATTTCAAAAATACAGAGAATGGATGAAAGGGTGCAAAAACAAGGACTGCAAATGCAGCATGGCTGAAGACAGAAGCCTGTAGCTTCCTAATAATATTCAGTGGACTTATCTTACCTGTCTGGCTCATGACAGAAGCAGAGTTACCAACAGCAGTACCTGCAATCCTAAACTCCTGTATTACATTATTTTGACAGCAGCAGTACTAACTGATGACAACAAACCTGCAGATGGGAACTCTAATGTAAGGTAGCATAGATGGAAATGTATGAAAAAGCTCTGAATTAGGGAACACAAAGAACTATAACAACACAAGGAAAAAAAGTGTTCTTAAGCAAATCAACCAGGAACCATACAGACTTTCTGTACAAGCACCTCATAAGTAAGGGACGCTACTCTGTGATTCAGGGTTCTCTTTTTGCTGATGCAGTAATTGATCCACAACACAAGCTAGAATATATTTAAATAAAAAATTTGGATTTTTTAGTGTTGTGCTTTGTTTTTTAATAATTTCTTCTCCACTACCTCCTATGTTATTTTGCAGCACTACACACAAGGTAGTCTAGGAGTATTTTATAGAAAATACAGATCCATTTACTCATCTATAGATGCCAAACCAAACCCTGCATCTGTCTGCAAAAAGAGTTATACAAGGCTATTTAAGTTCCCACAGTTTCACTGCTTTGCAGGCCTGTTCATAACCTTTGTTCTATATTCTCTGAGAAGTGTGGATAAGTGATCCATATCCTCTTCTAATTCGTCTTGTAATATACTTGGGGTATTTATCACGTGTCCTCATGCCCTCTTTTCCAGAATTCTCTCTTGAGAATTTTTATCGCTGTTTTGTAGTACTTTTCCATTGCTCTAATTTCTTCCTAATTTGTCCAATTGATTTAATAATACATTATACCCTTTAAAGGAACACAGAATCCTAAAACCAACAAAAATTCAATTTCTTATAATACTAGTTTAGAACAATAAAAATCAGTTCATGAATCCTGAGAAGCATAAGTCAGTTATCGAAAATGTGTATTTTCAAAATTATGAATTTATATTTTCTAGATTATTACTGAAAACTAACTATTAGTCAGAGGACACATTACATACTTATATTTGTTCTGTTTCACAATAACATTCTGGATTATGAAACTCCTACTAGTGATTCAGGCAAATATGTTACCTGAGGATACCTCCTTCCCCCTCGCACACATTCCTTTGCTTTTTTTGAAGCTTAATTAAAGAATATTTGTTTATGGACAACAAATGGTCTTGGATTCCTGCTAACAGACCTGGCTTCAAAATGTCATGTAACAAAATTTCTGTTTTCTTCCTTTTAAACCCAATCTTTGCCAGATATTTAAGCCCTATGGAAGTTATCATAAACGCTAAGTTGTATTTCTGTGATAATCAGCTTTCAAAAAAAACCTGAAATACACAGCTCATTGATGTTGTAAATGCTTAAGAATATAGTGGTAAACAAATTTTTAATGTCAAAAAGCAAATTTTCCTGTTGCACATATAACTATGTAACACTCTAGAGAATTAATTTAAAAACTTCAAAGGAACCAGAAGTACAGCTAACATAGCCAGAGGAACTCATAACTCTTGGATACCTTTGGGAAAAAATATACATCCCACTGAATCAAAGGCAAAATCCAAGACAATAAAAACTTTAAAAAGCAAGCAACAAATCTGACAACAATGTGTAGAAGGACTGGGAGAATGCTCTTAAATCGTAAGTGTTTCTCAAAACAAAATTGTTTTAGCATGGTTCATTTAATTCATGCAGAACATAAGTACACTGAATACTCTATCCAAGTTTATACATCAGAGAAACTTGGCCAAAAGGCCAAAGACTCTGACAACTGTATTTCTTCTCAGAAGAAATCAGGACTTGGATACCTCAGATCAAGGTATATACAGCTGGCATGCTCCTAGTAATGTGGGTAGCACAGCAATTTCTGTAATTAACTGACATGGCAGTAAGCTCCTGTGCAAACTGCAGATTCACCCCGACCGGGTATTAAATGATGATAGCAAACTGTTTTCATAGCTGCATGAGTGTAGGTTCTTAGTGGGGAGAGCAAAACAATTACCAGGTGTAAATTGGGACATCTCATCACAGCTGTTACGAAGAAGATTCTTCCTCAAGTTGCCCCCCTTACTTAAGTGCTGCCTCTGAGTGTAGATATCAATACTAACTTCTGTACAAAGCTGGGAGGAACTATGACACCAGTTGACAATTCCAAGTAGAAAAATGAAGGTTTAATACTTCGATTTAGCACTTGGTCCTGACAGATCTAAGAGTGACAAAACACACTCTTGCTGATGACCAAACAGTTGTAACTTCTGGTATGCAATATAATATAAATAGAACTGCAGCTGGTAATGAAAACAAGTGGCTCTAGCCACCAAGTACAAGACAATGGATATGAGCCAAATAAATCTAGCGATACTGCTTTGATACTTGGTGGCACAACTTCAGTCTCAGCAATACCATCTGTAAGAGAATACTGGATCATTTAATGGATTCTGATCAATGAAATTACTGTCACAGTCAGCACTTGTCTAGACCAGTTAGTTCTGATTTCTCACTATACTTTCCAGGACTTAATGTCTGTGGGATGTCAAGATCACCACCGACAATTAAGGAGGCTAACAGATAAAATAGACCACACAGCTCAACCTCAGATGTATCCTGGCGTCAACCGTCTCTCACATAAATCAACATTCAGTCTAGACTCACTGCGGATTTACATACTTATAAGTATTGATATGGCCAATAATAAAAACTTGGAAATATAAAAACAACTATTTCTCTGCAGGAAGTACAGAAGGCAGGTAACAATGAATCAGAAAGTGAAGGAGCAAGTGCACTAGATAAGTCAGATTACGACTAGAGAGGCCTATACAAATCAGATGAAGTTTCAATTACTGCACAGTTTAGGCCACAGCCCACAGAAAGCGTATCACTTTCTAATAAAAGTTACTCATGAGACAGCAGGACAACAGAGATAACAACAACAAACTCCTGTAGTGCCAAAACCTTACCAAGGAAGCAGCCATACCTTCTTATCTGAGAAATGTCCTTCTACCACCATCTTTACACCACTCAAACCTCTCAGCAACAGAAGATGCTTGCTCAGTGCAAGGCAACAGCTCCCAGTCACTGGGCCTACTCACTTTATTTTTGCAGACAGAGCTGTCAAATACTGTTTTTCTCTGTGCTGCCAGCACAAGTACTAATGTGCATACAGGTTAGCAGTCTGTACAGTTAGTAAGTAGACCAGTGGAATTACTCACGACAGTATGTTTCACTATCAGAATATAAATTTGTTCAACTTAAGATATAATAGGAAGAACAGAATGAAGAATAGAAGGGGTGCACATTTTGGGACCACTGCAGATCAAGACAAAAAAAAAAAAAAAAGAGAGGAAAACATCTTAAATGCCCTGCTTCAAGTTACTGTAACCAGGACATCATAAAATACTTAAGCTTTGATATGTAGACCATATCTGCAATGTCTGTTTCATGCCCAGTCAGCAATTACAGCTCAAACATTCCCAAGACTGATCATTAGTCTTACAACCCATAATGAACCTGTCAAGAGACTCACTTCGAGAATGCAAAGCAATCATATGGTCTACTGTTGAAAACATGAGACTTGGGCTTAGAAGACGTGAGTTCTATTACTAGCCATGCACTGAATAGTACCGGACAAGTCACTTTATGGTCCCAAGAGTTTCTATTTGTACAATATTATCATTTTATCTGTTTTCTTTGTGAAAGGTATTTTGAGAACTAGTGACAGAACGTATTCAATAGGAATTAGAGAGTATCATCATATAGTTACAGCAGCATCTCAGCTGAAAACCTGGCAAACAACTTCATAGAAAAAAGATTCTACAAAACATTTGTCTATTAATAAAAACCAAAGAATCTCACCAAAAGATTTAAACTTGCTATAACCTTCCAGATTATGGCATGAAGGGACTCTCCAAGTATCTCAAGAGTTGCAAATACAGAAGGTACACAGCAATGCAACATTTTATTTACTTTTTGAATGAGGATCCAAAATATTCAGAAAACACACACTCATGCTGTGCTTTATGGATATTGTACACACCAATGAAAGACCTAACAAATGTAGCAGAGTTTTCCATCTTCTTTGGGGTAAAAGACTAAGGTGTAGCAGAGAGAAACAATATTCTCAGTTTAACCACTAAGCCTAGTTCTAGAAGCAACAACACTAGCTGAACTTTAACAGCCTCATCCATCTCAGCCACAAGATTCAAATATTAAAACTTCATTTACCTACTATTAAAGGAAAAAAAAACAATGGGAAAATCATCCCTGCGCAGTGTTTGCATAGTTCTGTGTTAAATAAGTATTTTATAATGATATCAAGGTATTTACACACTCCTTTTGACTGCACAAAAGAGAAGAGATTCAAATCCAAAGAGAGAAGAAAGATGTATTGCAGGTCTCTCCACAAAATCCTCAAATTGCAATTGCTATTCTGTACTATTACACCTAGACTACTGAAAGCGGACACACAGCTTATGACTAGTTCCATCTACTGCCAGCTTTAGAGGGAAAATGATTTTGAGGTGTCCCAATTCTGAAACATCAGAATCTAACTGGATACAAAATCTTGAGTAGGCCTGAAATACTGTATTTGCAAAATGTTTAAGAATAAACATTTATATGTTATTTCAAAGAAGCACAACTAAGAAAGACTGATTTACCTTAAGTTTGTATCTGTCTCTTGCTTGACTTATATTAGGCAAATACTTGCCATGAACTCTACTGTGCAGAATCTGCCATTGCCATGCCTGCAAACCAAAGAGTAAATATATGCTCAATTTTCTCTCCTTTTTTTTTTTTTTTTTTTAATAGGTACATGGTCAGATCCTCTGCAGAAGTAAATGGAGATAAGTCTCAAATTACAGTTATTTATGTCTGCAAAGAACTGGAGTCAATGCTCTATTTTAAGGAATTAATATTGATTGAAATCACTTTCAACGGCAAAAAATTTTTACTAACAATTCAACAGACTTAATACTGGGTGTGTAGAGCTGAAGCTTTAAAAAATATTTTGTGCCATTTCTTTTTCTTCAGAGGCAAACACTGGAGTTGCTGTGGGAACGCTAACTTAGGAATGTCCTGACTTTTGTTCAAAAACCCAAACGAAGTGAAATCTAACCATTTCATTGCAGAGCAGTTCTTCCTAAGCTTCTACTCAAGCTCTCTGAAGGTTTCTCATTTGTTATCATTTCCAGCATCATTTGTATAAACTTTTGTTTCTTTTTTGCAGCATTTACCCTCCCCTTCAATATCTTTATACAGTATCTGAAGCGTATAAGCCACTGTAAATATAGAAAAAGCAGAAAAAAAAAAATCTGCATTTATTTACAACCTTATACCTACTGAAAATACATCAATGCATAAACACATGCAGCACCCCGAAGCATTATTTTTGTCCGAATACCATTCACAACTGTAATGCCACACTTAAGATGAACTGTTCTGTCTGAAGAAGCCTAACTTTCATTCTTACTTAGAATCACCTAAAGACAACTAATAGAATGTCTTTCCTACTGGTATCAGCAGCCTTCTACTCTGCAAACTACCCTCACGGTCCGTTTTGTGACCCTGAAACAGCTCCTCCAGGCTGCTTGCCTGTGGCCATTAACGCTCACTGACCCTCATGCCAGAGCAGTTTCACTTGCTCCTCTCTCTTCCAAAGGCCTCAAATCCTCCCTGCTGTACAAGGCTGGATCTGTCACCTGATCTTAGTCTTTAGCTGGGTGGAGGGAGAAGGATCCAGAGTGTCAACGCACTTTGCCAAGAACTAGAGACCCAGTACTTGCTTGTAGTTTTATGCACGTATTTTCAGACGTTCTTCACTTACAGAGTTCTCCATCAATTCTTTCCATTCACTTTTCCTGGAAGGCACAGTATGACATCAGCTGATTTCCACCGCTAGCAGGAGGAGACTCCAGAAACTTTATGACAAAAACAAGTGCTATAAATACAGTTTTGGCTGCACAAGGACTCAAAATAGACATAAAATCCTCTTCTCTACCTTGCTGAATTCTCAGGGTTTCTATACCTCATATCTAGATTCTGGAGGTACCTTACACTTCCTGAATCAACACCTGATATGTAACAGTCTGCGTGGTCCATTATCTTCTCATTGTCCTCACATCAGCGAAGTTCACCAATTCCTTCCCAAATGAACAGCAGGCTTCTCTGTACAGCAGCATCTAACACAGCCTGTATCAAATACTGCATCAGTAAAGAAATACGTTATGACAACATTTAGTACCTCCCTGTCTAGAACCAAATGATATGTGCCACAGCAGGGAACCCATGCAAACAATTTTTTCTTCACTTTTTTGGGTTAAATTACTAGAGAAGACTATATAAGCTCTTCATAAATATTAGATAGAAATAGGACAGAAATACAAAGGAATAGATCAAAATATTCCTACTGTAGATCCAGTTTAAGCCAATGCTCTTGCCAAAAGAATAGAGCACAAGTCTTTCTTCTCCAGCTATCCATCCCCACCTCTGTATAACAAGCCTGAGAAAGGAAATGATCCAGATGTGATCTAGCCTACCAACAATAACAGGAAAATAAGAGGTTTAAATCCAGACATGTTCCATGGTTCAGTTCACTGCACAACCACTGATGCTTTTGGCAACACAAAGGGGAAACGCATGAAAGACAGAAGAAACCTCTTCCAGAGCAATACTGACACACACTCATTCAAACTAGTCATGGAACTACATCATCAGACTTAAGTGTGAATTTCACATAATTAATCCTCTACTGATTAATCCTTTTTAAACGCCTTGAGTGATAAATAAGGCTTACACTACTTCCATTAAGCAGCTACTATACTCATAAGTGCATGCATGTTCTTCCCTATAACCACCTTTACTGTCCCAATTCTTTGTCAGTGGACTACCTCCAATATTTAAAGACCTATCCCTCCCTATCTTGATTGAACTATACGATTCAGCTTTTTAAAATCACAAGTAAATATTTTTCAACTTACACTGTTCACTTATTCTTACCGGAGTTTAATAGCTTTTCAACAGCAGTTTTAACTAACTTCAAATGAACACTGGACTTAACTCCAAATTCTCATAACCTTCTCACATGTCCACCCTTAAACCTAACTTCATTATTCATCTGCACAGTTATAACATTAAAAAAAAAGTGTTTTGTTTTGTTTTTTTTTTTTTTTTTTTCTAAGAATAAAAGCAATAAAGTAAGAAGAAAATAAAAAATGACCCCTTCCTGTGGAATTTCCGGACCCTCAAAGCATGTCAGACAAAAGTTGGTTTCTTACTTGTCTCCTACCTCAATGAAAGCTTTTCCGCAACCAGGATAATAATGCAGTCAATACCGAATGAATTACTGGGTATTATCCCTTAAAGTATATATGGCAAATATTATTTTGGGCCCTTAAACATCTAAAGCATTACATTTTGCTACATGAATCACTTGAACTCCTGGAAATAGGCAGAGCACTAAGTTACTCTTTTTGCACCAGTGGGCAATAGGTGCAAGACAAATTTACTCTGTAAGTACCTCAAAGCATCTGCCTTCCAAGAAACACAACTGACAGGTTAGCTCAGCTCTGAACAATGTCACTTCCTTACACATTGCCTGTAGGAAGATTCTTACAAAATTGAAGATTGAAACCCCACAGTGCTATTCTATAGCCTGGCTTTATCTTTCATCTACTCAGTGCACTTGGTGAACACCTATTTCTTCAGTGTTCTACCCATTTATTATGACATCTTTCACAGAATGGACAAACAATATTTTTTAAATACGCAACAGCATACTTCCAAGAGGCCTCTGAAACTGCTTAATCATATTCCTGCTACAAGTCTACAAGCAAAAATTAAGTATGCTATCAGAAAACACTTTGAAGTAGAGGAATTGTACAACCCCGATCAGCATCAAAATTTGCTTTTGATTGGTATTTTAAACTCAGAAACAGTTTAGATTATGTTTCTGTCACTTTGCTCGGGGTAGTACAAATGAAAGGATGTGAACTGGTGAATTGAGGAAGTAGAAACCTGGGAAGAAAGGCAGAGGGCTTTAAAAGGATGTAAGAATCGGGAAACATCTCAGGACACGTGAAACAACAAGCTTAACGTCCCAGAAGCTGCATATTCACAATTCATTCCATAGGTTTTCCAGATGAAGATGAAACAACTACTAAGTATGTCCCTCTTAAACAAAGAATGATCAGAAAACAGCCACACAAAGTTGCTTGAGTTCAAGCAGTTCAAGAATGAGATGACCCTCTGTCACATATCAACCACAGATCCCTGCCTGCAGACACAGTGCGATTCAGACACTGCCCGGCAGCTGAGATCCCCCAATTTGCCGCTTCCAAATTTGCGATCCACATAGCTTTCTCAGAAGGAAATAACCTGAAGACACTGCAGTGGTAAGGAAGAAAAATAATTTATACTGAATTTATGGAACATAGTCCTCAAGAATGATTTTAGCAAGATGTTGACTTCTGTTTCACAAGTGAAACAAATGTTTTCCTTGTTCAAATTCCAGAAACAAAAGGCCTGATGCCTATTTGCATAGATATTCAAAAAGCAGCAGAATTTCTAAGTGGACAGCATTCCACAGAAGACAGAAGAAGTACCCTACAACCTACTTCCCTCTTTCTTCCTCTCAAAAAAAATTATTGCCAATGTTAATGGTGGATCCAGCTGCTGCCACTATTTTGAGCACCTTCCTGCTACTCAAAGAACATCATATCAACACTTTCCTGCAGTGTCAGCAGCTAACAGACTTCCTGCACTATTTGTTCACCTGATCTACTAATGAAAAGCAATTATGAATAGTCCTCCCAATGTGTGCACGGCCTTATTATGAAGTTTATGTAAATGCACAGCCAAAGAAGTCCTAGTTACAAGTTTCTAGCTCTTCCTAACACAGTATTTCCTACAACCCCATCCATCCCTAAGCACTGACTCCTGATTACAAACTAGGCTGGCCAGGGTCTAGCTTCTCATTAATCCCCCCTTGCCCATAACAAGCAAAGACAGCACTCAGTTCTTCCAGGACAGGATTTGGCTTTCATTAATCTTCGTGGCAGACAGTGACAACAGACCTTTTATGGAAAGATACAGGCCCTGGCTAATTACTCCCCAAAGCAGGCAGGGACATTGAAACCCTCATCCCAGAAGACAGCAACTCTTCTGGAGGTTAAAACTGTGTCTTTCTGATGCCACTGCCACCCACTACATGCTCTCCCTGCAAGACAACTGCCTTCCCTCCTCCACTCCCAGTCCCTAGACTCCCAACTTGGATGAACTGCATTTTACAAAAAAAGAAAACATCCACAAACAGATCACCTTTCACTTGGAATGCCAGTCCTCCCCAGAGACGCAGAGACAGACAGACAGACGTAACAACAGACTGTAAGCCCTGGCTCTCAATTCTGCTCAGCAAATGCCGAATGCACACAAGGCCAGCCACACTGCCGGGTTAGCTAGCGTGCTGCTGCTGTACAAATATAGAAAGCAGAAAGTGGAACAACCGTTTCAGCAGAAGAGATCCTGCTCAGCTCTCCGGGAGGGAGGAGCAGGGAGCTGAACCAGCTGAACTGCTTTACCCATACATGGTCTCTGAACAAGACCATTGCTAAGACAAGTTCCTTCACACAGGGTCACACTGTGCAGGGAAAGAAAAGAATTAAAATGTACAAACTTAAAGGAGTTACTGTTTGGAAATGAGTTCCAAGTCCATTTTGCTTGAGCCCACCTTAGTAATGCAGAAACACCCAACACACTTCATTCAACAGTCTGGGCAGCAACTCAGACAACACAAGACAAAAATCTCCCTTCCAGGGAATCCCCACAGCCACCAGCATTTCAAGAACTGCTGAACCAGCCAGGTCTTCCTTGTTGCTTGTAGCCACACACATACACATACTAAGCTCTTGGTTTGACCTTCTTCCCCTTCACCCCTGCCCTCCAAGCCCCAATTGAATTATAGCAATCTCTTTAAACCCTTCTCCCTTTTTTGAGTATTTTCCCCAACCAGTAAGCAGGACCTTTCCCATCGGTTGATACAAACTACAACTTGCCATATCATGTCTGCTTCCCCTGTAGTCCTTTTTGCCAGTTTTTAAACACAAACTAAACCTTTTTCCATGAATTCTTCCTAAAAACAGAAGAAATCCACTTCTATCCAGCATCCCCACCTCTCCCTTCCCTCCACCCTTTTTCATGTTCTGGCATGGAAAAAGAACAAAATTAGCACAACTGAAAAC